ACTAGTGAAATTTATAAAATATAATTTTCACTGTAGCCGGACTATATCTGAATGCGGATGAAAAGAAAATCAAACTAAATGGATTAACAGGCAGAAAAAAATGCCGTCATACGTAAATTTTGCTTCTTTATGAAAAGAAAGTCGATGTCACCATACATCATGTTAAAGATGTAACAAAATTAGAGAAATTTAACAGAACTATATTTCCAAATTGATGATGTGACGTCATGATGTGATGACGTCACAAAGGAGAATGCGCGACGTTACGCGGCAAAATCAGTACAAAAATACCTAAAATCACTTAAAAAAGCATGAAATAAAAAGAAAATTTATTTGTGTTACATATAAGATTGAAATATATTTCATTCGTGAACACCAGCTATTATATTTTCACTCGTGGCTACGCCACTCGTGAAAATATTGCATCTGGTGTTCACTCAGTGAAATTATATTTCAATCTTACACGCAAAACAAACAAATATCCTCTATATAAATAACAAGCAACACTGAGCAAGGAAGCTACCACTATTGAATGGCAAGGTTAAGATATTTGAAAAACCCAGTATGTCACTAGAAATAGACACGGCAGCCATGCCTGTTATGAAGAGGCCAATATATGGGGTGTAATTGAAATTAAAACTATTAACTCAATTTACGTATTGATCTTTCATGATCCGTAAACGCATGAAACATTTTAATATTCAAATGGAATTCTGTTCTTCTGTTCTTTGTCATACAGTTTCCTTTTTGTCATCATGTAGCATGCTACAAAAGCCATAAAATCAGTTTTATTTACATTTCATGTAGAGTTTCGTCCCATGGGCGTAACCCATTTCCTTATATGTTTTTTAATTTGCACTTCTTTGTAAAAGACAACAACGAGATACTGTTTAGACTAAATTTAAAATTACTTTTATCATTAAAATATGTTACGATTGTCTCTTGAGGTTACGTAACGTTGAAAAGAATTAAAAGTAAAACCTATCTAAAAAAAACCATTAAGGGTCTCCATATTTGGGCCTGCGCAGAACAGATTATTCCCCCGCATTACCAGGTCATGAAATAACTAGTTAACAAAAAGGGCATGTTTGTAGATAACGAATTGAATCAACAATCTTACCTGAGAGTGGTTTTGTTGTTATTTACTTTGAAACAGAAAGCGAGTGTACAATTCAGAATGTATGATTTTGAATTGAAACAAAAAATAAAGCACTATTCAGCATTAATAGCTTTTGTCCGGTAAACTGATTGTCCGGTAAATATGTAGGACCCCAGTAGTTATAAACATTACTACTATGTATGGCTAGATCTATTTAATTATTCGATAAGAAGAAAAAAAATGCATGTACTGGTTTCCTCAGTTTCTTGCCCATAGCATTTTTCCAGCCCTTTATTAATTTCGTCCAGTACAGTCTATTTTCACTAGTAAGTTATACATGTTACTTCATCAATCAGAGAGACATATGTATAAAATTTTGTTTTCTATGCTAAACAGCATTTAAAATGGTACAATGATTTATATGTTTTGATGTTTTGCCTGTTGCAGCTATGGCAATGTAGATTTTCAGATTTTCAAAAAAGCCAATATCATAGAAATAGCAGTCAGTCTTTAAAGGCAGGTTACATTCCATAGTAGTCTTCTCTTAAAAATCACATATGAGGAATGTCCAAGAGAAGGCAAATGGCAGGTCAAAATGAAGTCAACCTGAGTTAACCAGGGATGATAGATTGACCTGACATGAACAACTGGAGAGTGTGGCCCTACAAAGAGTCCTTTTTGTGGAAGAACATGCCTTTGAAGAATTGTTGTATAATTTTACCACCAAGAATAAAATTGACGCAGAGCAGAATGACAAAGACCTCCCTAATAAGACTACAGCAGCAGACCGGCAAGAATGCCGTAGGTCTCGATAATATGGTTCATTTTGGTGCCAATATAAACTCCAAAACAAACAATACATTATTAGTTATAAATATTTTTGATAGGTTATATGGTCCAATATAAACGGCTGTTTGGAAATATAACACGAGCCATTATATTGCAAATTACCATTTATATATTACGGTCATATAAGCTGTCAAGAATATTTATAACGAATTTATAATACAGCAAACTTTCTTTTTTTGAGACAAAAGTGAGATTTTTTTTATAAAATTGACAGAACCCGTGTATATAAAACTATATAAACGTCAAGATGATCCAATGAATAGTGACGTTACAAACGTGCAGTATTATAAAGAACACTATACGTAACATTTAGAGTAAATTGACTGTGAGCATACCAACTTATTGTCATACAATAAAACATTCTTTAAAATAAAAATTTGTAAACATGGCTTCTAAATTGCTTTAAAAGGGCTAGCCAAGTGACAGGTTTATGAAACCTGACCAAAAACCTGAAACTCTGTTAAAAATAAAACAAGTCCAAAATACACACAAACCCTGAGATCCTGGCCATCCATGGACCAGTCACAGTAAAACCCTGAACCTGATGAATTTCTTCAATGGATTTGTCCATCGTCCTTTTTTGGAACTATCCATTAACATTTTTGGGGGAAAATCAAGATAAAATTCAAAGTAGAGCAGTAAACAGTATGTACCATGCAAGAGGTTGACATTATGCCACTTTGCAGTTAAGACTTTTGTCTGCTATTTTTTGAAGTTGAAATCCAATAAAATATTATTAATTGAATATGATGACTTTCTTTGGCCTTTTGAATTCAATCAGCCTTCAAAACTAATCTTTCAGGTGAGAATTACTCACCCACAAAGTTGCCAGTTTTCTTTTTATAATTACAAGTGTGTGTATTTGCATTTATTTATACTCGCCACCAGTTGCCCATATGGGTGAGTCCTCCAGAAGAGTATTAGTCATTTTATTTTTTGGAGGATAGTGCAATTATAGATACAGAAAGATGCCCCAATTCCAGAAGCTTCTCCTGGTTCTTTAGCGTGCCAAGTGTTTAAGCACCCATAGTGCCAAATGTTTAAGCACCCATACACCTCGATTTAAAGTCTCATCCCTAAGTCTCATCCGAAAGACTGATTAGTAATTTTAGTTGGCCAGCAATATCTAACCGATTGAGCTATGTAACTACAAAATTATAATATATATACAAGATATTTACATGTATTATCTCTAGTTTTTAAATGCTTTCAAATAACAAAAGAATATAAGATGAGCATTCCTGCTACAATTACAAATGTTTAAAATACTATTCACATAAATATGAAATTGTTATTTTGATCAATTTTTCAATAAAAAGTTAATTATTTATTACCTCCCTTTATTGCATAGACTAAGATCTTCCTGATCAAGTTTTTGTTATATGTTATCATATAAACCTATACAGATATTTTTAACTTGCAAAAAAATCCCACTGATCACATCTGGTATTGAAGTGCAATCAGGAAGATATTTCTCACATATCAGACAGGATTACATTGTATCTACCCTTTACACCAGTGCTAGAAAACCCTGTCTTACACCCCCCATGTAAGACAAGTTGCGTGCTTTAAATGACGTCATTGCCGTGCGCATTTTATGAATGAATTGCCTTCTTAGGATGACGTCATTTAACCGTTATAAATGAAGTTGTAAGTTCATTCGCTACTATAAGAAAAAAGTGCATGAGAATATCAGTTGTTGTAGTTTCTGTTCTGAAAATAATTGATATGTAATATGCAAGAAAAAGAATCAAACACTGGCTACTGGTGCAGACGGGAATATCTAGCTCTCGGGTAACTGTTTAGCGGAAATCGGCAGAGCCTCGTTACCGCCGTAAACAGTCACCCACGAGCTGGATATTCCGAACTGTATACCGGCATCCGGTGTAAGATTCATATACTCTGTCACAGGCATAAAATTAGCCACAACTATGGCCTTTTTCTCTGGTAGCTGAACTGACCTCTAGTTAATTCAATGTGGCTAAAATACTGCCATCATCCAGAGGGAAAACTTCCAATACCACCATATCCTTTTTTATTAAAGCAACTGTACTTATGGTACTGTATATGCAATTTGCCCCAAAAGATGAACCATAATTAACAGGAAATATTACCGAAATATACTAACATTATAAGGCCTTAAAATAATCTTTGTTTCCTCTCCTGTGACTCATACCAATTTGGATAGGGTAGGTAGGTGGATAAAATATTTTTTTTAACCAAAATATTTTTTTATGAAAATTATAAGGTGGTCAAAACAAACAAAAAAAGAATGTTTAGCATCTGTTTAAAGAATATTAAAACCATATTTTCAGTTTTATCCAATGTATATCCAAGTTTGTATATTTAAATTAAAAAACATTGAGACAAATATAAAGATGTGATTCTCATTCTATGTTTAGCAATGAATTAAAAAATAAAAAAAAAATAAAAATATTTTACTAGGCGATAAAATTTTTTTGGGTAGCTGTGATTTTTGTGGGTGGGTAGCAGGAGGGGAAAGAACAATATTTTATTTTAGGTCTAAGTGTATGTACAAATGTTCATTGAATCAATAGCACAAATGGCAAGATACTTGAATCTTTGAGTATTCAATTTAATTCCTTGAGAGATATTGTAAACTAAAAAACATTTAATGTCCTGAGTGCAGCAATTAGCTGGGACCCAATGTCACCGTAAACTATATGTCACATGATCATTTGCCCTGTTTAGCTTCAAAATGCCTGAAGTTTATGATATAGTCTGTGTAGACTTACATGGAAATGCAGACTGACCAGGCTTTTTATTGGTACCAAGGTAACTCATTATTGCTACAAGCAATTTGAGATTAACAAGAGCTGTCAGTAGGATGAGTGCTTGTAGGTAAAACAAGAGCCTGGATAATGTATAATTTTACTACTTCAAAAAAAGGGACATAATTCTGTAAAAAAATTCAACACATTCTCTTCAGTAGCTTTGCACTTGCACACAAAAACTAAACTGAAGAGATGTTGACGCCAACACAGACACTGGGTGAGTACAACAGTCAAGCTAATAAAAGGAAGTAACTTACTTGATGAAAAGTCATCATCATCATCATCATCATCATCCTCGTCTTCATTATAGTAAGTAGGAGCTGATTTCACTCCCGGTAACCTTGGAGACTGGTCCCTCCTGTTATGTGACAATAAACAGACCAAATAAAAAATAACATTGACTAAAATTTTGACAAAATTTGTTTCAAGGACTTGATGTTAAACAGTTGTATCTCCTTTATATTATGAGTTTCAACTATTCTGCACCAAGCCTTCAACTTGTTTTGTTCACAATGAATCAAAACAAGCAATTATCATAGTATTGCAAGCAATCCATAAGTCCCCTACCGGTTAGAACCCCATCAACATTCTGAAGGGCCATTGGCCATTCACTAATGTTTCAATTTTTCTCTATTTTAAGTAAACTTGTTGGAAAAGTTCTTTAAAAGTGATCACAGGAAACAGTTTTTATGAACAGGTGGACTGAAGGACACTCTAAAGTTAATATTTGAAACATCCCTGTTACCAAAATATAACATTTTAAAAGTAAAATTCTTAAAGAGGAGATAACTCTTGAATTAAAGATGCAATTTCATAAAAAAATTCAGCTCTTTTTGACTAATCACAAATATTGTTATATTTGCCATGTTTTAAGCCTATTTGTTGCCAAGGCAACTGATATTTTTTCAAAATAGGAAGAACAGATAAGACATGCATAATCTCAAGACTGCTATCTACCCATATGTCAAGTTTTCATAAAAATATTTCCAGTACTTTTTGCTTTATCACTGGATCCAGTTCATGTGTAAAATTTGCCATATTTTCAGTCTATGTGTTGCCATAGCAACCAGAATTCTCAAACAGAGGAAGAAAAGAAAAAGACGTGCATAATCCCAAGACTGCCATCTACCCATATGTCAAGTTTCATAAAAATATTTCCAGTACTTTTTGCGTTATCACTGGATCCAGTTTATGTGTAAAATTTGCCATATTTTCAGCCTATTTTGTTGCCATAGCAACCAGAAATTTTCAACATAGGAAGAAAAGAAAAAGACGTGCATAATCTCTATACTGCCATCTATCATATACCAAGTTTCATAAAAATATTTTCAAGTACTTTTCAAGTTATCGCGGGATCCAGTTTTGTGGACGGACGGACTGACGGACGTTCTCACAGGACGTGTTTGTGGGGTTATTCCTTTGATCTCTTAACCCCACAAGAGCAAATTTTTTAACCCCATAAGAGCATTTTTTAACTCCCATAATACATGTCTCTACGGAATGAACCCCATACAGAGTGGCCTGTACAAAACCTAAACCTCATAATGTATGCTCTCGTATGCTCGGACTGACAGGACAGACGGAGGGACAGACAGACGGACGGACAGAAGGACGGAGGTAAAAAACCTAAAGTCCCCTCCGGTAAACCGGTTAGGGGACTAAAAAAAAAGCTATTGTAACAATTATTTACCAGCTTTTCATATGTTAAAGAAAAACAAAATCAAAGTATATGTGATGAATCATCATAAAGCATAAATCATATTTAGAAATTTAAATTGAAAATTATGACTTTCAAAGGCAAGTCACTTAGCAGTCTAGTTCATATTACAATGAGGCAACATAAAATTCTATTTAGAGGTACATGTATATTATTTTTTTTAACAGCGTATGAAAGGGTCTAGTTTTAGAACAAAATGTTCCCTAAATTTTTCATAATTTAAAAACCAAAAAGGCCCACGAAATGGGGGTGCGTGGGCCATTTTTTTTTGTTTTACCTTTTGTTTGATAAGGGGAAAGTTAAAAAAGAATCTATTTGTCCCCCCTTTTGTTTGTCTCAGTTTTCATTGCCTCCATCCCCCCATTCGACCCGGCAGACAAAATTTACAAAATTTTTACAATTTAAACCAAATTTAAAGGAGGGCCCAAAACAAATGCCTGTTTTTTCCCAGGGCCTTTTTTACAGAAAAGGGAAATTTTTCCAGAAATTAAATATCTACATAATTATAAGTAAAGAAATGATTCAAACAAAACAGACAAGTGCGACAAAAAATTGATTTTTCTGGCCTTATTGCATTGAGATTTGGAAACTATCTTACTTCTTTTCAAGTTCATGAGTTTCTCGCAGGTGGAAGCCACTGTCATCTGATTCACTAGTCATATCATCGTCCTCTACGATAAAATCATCCATGCTGAAATCAGAAATGAGGTACGATATTATAATTTTCATTTCTTTTCATGTTCTATATGATGGATTTCTTTACAAGAAACATAACTTTTTTTATCAGTGTAATATGGATTTATATAATATTCAGGCTTTGCTGAAATACACAGAGATCTCAATAATAAGGATGTTTTTGGGAGTTTTCATATAGACATAGTTTTCATATAGGCAAAATTAGAACACCCAAATTTGTTTCACTTAAATATTTTTATTATAATTTTCTAACAACATGCCAAGTTTAAAGAAATTCTATTGAACAGGTTTAATTTTGCCTATATGTTTATATGAAAACTCCCGGGAAACTCCACTGAGGTCCAAAAGCCAAAAAAGACCATAAAATTCACTAGTCATATCATCGTCCTCAACGATAAAATCATCCATGCTGAATTCAGAAATGACATACGATATTATAATTTTCATTTTTTTCATGTTCTATACGACTGATTAGAAATCTATTCAAGAAACGTAACTTTTTTATCAGTGTAATATTGATTTATATTATTTTCAGGCTATACTGAAAAACACAAATATTTCAATTTTGGACGATTTCGGGAGTTTTCCTATAGACATAAAGGCAAAATTAAAAACCCTAAATTTGGTTTGCTTAAAATATATTCTGTTATCATATTCTAAGAACATGCCAAGTTTAAAGAAATTCTATTGAACAGGTTTAATTTTGCTTATATGTCTATATGAAAACTCCCTAAACCGTCTTTAAAGAAACTCCACTGAGGTCAAAAGCCTAAAAACAAAAAATTTGAATTTCTTACACAGATCATTTAGTTGAACACTTAAAACAGAAAAATATGCAAAAGATAATCAAGAAATATACTCAGAATAAATTGGAAATTGTATTTTTCTGCTTTTTTTTTGCCCGATTTGAGTGAAAAGTATTGCAACGATCTCAATTATTGGTCTAGTGGAACATTAATCTTGAATAATTATTTCCAGTCCTGTCATATAAAAAAACCTCAGTGGAGTTCCTTTAACAATACATAGAAGATAATTTAAATTTCAGGCAAACATAAGGATATAAATAATTATATATTATTCCTACTATTGTCTATTCAACACAATAAAGAAAATATTGTTAATATAATGTAAACATGTATTTAATACTCAGAGTTATGAAGATGTTAGCTGGTTTAAAGACAAAGCCAAATAAATGAATAAACTTATTAATAACATATTATTAAATAATGTGGTGACATTAGAACATAAAAACTTGTCAGGTGACATGCATTAACATTGTTGAGAGTGTACATGTATTGTGAAAAAAAGGGATAAAATTGTGCTGTAGGTAAAAACATCTGCTGAAAGTTATAAAACAGCCAAACATGTCTTTCTGTGAAAGAGACCTATTTAGAATACTTGATTGCTAACTTCAGACATGATACTTCTGAAAGTTATTCATACTTGATTGCTAACTTCAGACATGATACTTCTGAAAGTTATTCATAACCTTTAATCTACAGAAATGGAAAAATTATTAGCCTATACCACTGTGCAGTCTGACCAGGCTTTGTACTGTTGGTATTGCAATGTCTATATCTTGATACAAAATCTCTTAAACTTTAAATGCATTATTTAAAATTTAAAAGCAAATTCCCAAGGTAAATGGTTAATCTTTGCTCTTCACAGATTGTTTTGGTTTGACTGTATGTGTAAAATTACCTGTCTGAACACTCGTTTTCTCTTTTAAAACAAGGAAAATTGATAAATATGTAATTCACATTAAATACATACAATACATATATTTCTTATTTTTTTCACTGCTGGTTTTATGTTTCGCCAACACAGCATAGGTCATATGGCAACTTTCCAGCTTTATTGGTGGAGGTAGACCTCAGGTGCCCCTCTACATTATTTCAGGCACAAACAGGCACCTGAGTAGAACCACAGGTGTCCTGTAAAGGACACATCCTCCAACTGTGGTTAATATAAGGCATATGTCAAACGTTTGGTCAATCCATCACATAATGACCAAGTTATAAGTCACATAGGATTTGACTTTTGATATTTTCAGTACAACTTTGTAGGTCATGCACATTGTCTACTAATGGTTATCATTTGTATCAATTCATTTTGAAATTACATTGTGCACTTTGAAGTTATTGGCAGGACTCAAACTGCACTTCAAACTAAATGACAAACAGTTATTTTCAATCCTTTGTCATACAAGGAAATATACTTGTGATCACAGTTCGACTTAAACCCACAATCCATGGATCGAAAGGCAGTCGCTTTAACCATTTAACCAATGCTCACCTTAAAATGAACTTGGATTGTAATTAAATCAGTTACTATTTTAAGAACTCCTTCAAACTTATGGCATATATAGTACAATATCCTTTGTACATGTATGGACCTTTCCGGTATTTACAGTTTTATGTAAATTGGCTAACTTGTTATCCAATCGTTACATTGAGATATTACATAGTCACTGGTTGACCTGGTTTGCACAAAAGAACACGTGCTTATGTTTGTGATACTGTTTGTGAGCAGTTGACCTAGCAATGAATAGAAAAGGTGTGGCTAAATGTTCCGCTACGAAAAACCGGAAAGGTCCATTTACCTCATTAGGCTAGCATCTGGTGATTTCTTTTGTTCTGGCTTCCTAAGTTTCTGGAAAACTGTTAAATCAAAATGGAAACAAAAAGTTCATGTATTAATAAGCTAATCGGCAAAATAACTTTTACTAATCCTTGTTTGATACATAATTTAATTGAAACATGGTAATAGTAAGAGAAAAATATCAGCTCAAAAACGATCAATTTAAAGAATGTAAAGGGTATAAAGATATATCTAATGAATTTTATTTACAAAATGTAAAAACTTAATCAGGTCATTTCCGTTATCCTATAGTTAATTATCAATTTATGGAACATGGTTTTCTTGTAAAAGATTTTTTTTGTCAAAATAGTTTAAGATAACCAAAATCTACTAGTTAACTTTGTAGCTTGTACATACATGCTTCTAGGTCGCCATCTTCACTGGAGTCACTACTGTATCTTTTACTTGATCTGAAATATCAAATTAAGGATGAATGATGACCACCAGGGTAATTAGACAAGTCATTTTTTCGAAATCTATAGTAAATGCACATCATTGATTTTTAAATATTTCTTATGAGTTTCAAGTCATTCTGACACTTGCATGGTCAATTTGGTCATGCTATAACCTTTATTGACCCTCAATGAATTATTTTAAGTGCAAGATGGCACTGGAGTGGAACCATTAACCTTTGTTCAGCTAGATAGAAAGATTCCGTACATTAAGTAATTCAAAGTCACTTGCAGTATTCAAACCTACTGCAGTGAGGTGCAAGTGAATTGAAAATTTTGCAATTTAAGACCTTCATCAACCAAATCACATTGTCTCTTTTCGACTAAAAGTAATAAGGTTCTTTAAATAAAACATTTTAGAATAATATTTCCGACTTCCAAATTTATAAACCAACACTGATGTTCTTGAATGCCAGATACATACAGATATGAAGTACATATGAGCTATGACTGCCCATAATAATATAATAACTATTAAGGTAAGGCAATTATAAAAACTTTAATTTTGAATCACAATGAGAAATCCTTGAAAATACCTCAAAACATAATGAAAATATAAACTATGAATATCTTAAAATTCACAAGCATCACACATGCTTAAGTTGATATCAAACATTTACCTCCAGCTCTGATCAGTCATGTTGGCCTTCTGGCTGACTTTCTTTATCTTCTTACTTCCAGACTTCTTTGCAAGCTTAGCAAAGCTTGCACTTACAGCATCACTATCACTACTTTCTGTCATATTAGCAAACTTATCCTCCTGGCTTCTTTCACTAGTATCAGATTCATCAGATATGTCTTCGACAAGATTGTTTTTCTCATCAGAGTTGTTTTCTGCTACAGCAGCATTTTCATTCATATCATCAACAGAGCAATCATTATTCTTGCCTTTATCTTCAAAACTGCTGCTGATGATGAAGTCATTTTGATTCTCTTCATTGTCAGCATTTCCTATCTCTTCTACTTCATCAAGATCTTCTGTCTGTGTTCCTGCATCATTTACCTCGTATAAACTTTCATCAGCTTTCAACTTACATTGATCTTCAGTACTAACATCTTCCTCTTCACTCATTTGTTCCTTTTCCCCTTCCCCATTAATATCAATGTCTTGAACTTCTTCAGGAAGTGGCATATTTACTTCTACATGATTATGACCCAAAGCATTCATGTATATGTCTTTGTCAGAAACATTGCCATTGACAACTGAAGTAGGAATTTCAAAGTTATCATCTGTTTCCCTAGCAACAGTCTCATTTGAATAATCATGAACAGAAGCATCTATGGTAGTTGAAGCTAATGTGTGCCCTAGCTGATTAATTGTATCACCAGAGTATATGTCTGGTAATTCAGGATTGGACGATTCTAATTCATGCACAGGATGTTTACCAGCATTAACGTGACCATCATCTACAGTGTCTTCACTATATATATCACCAGGGTCTCTATACTTGTTATCAAAGTCATACAGTTTACCCTGGTTATCCACAATAGTTTCTTCTTTGTATACACAATGTATTAACTTCTCTGTTTCTTTACCTTCTTCAATACATTCATCATCGTAGGTAAGAACTTCATCAGTTTGTGTTGCAGTGTCAACAACTTCAATTTCTTCTCCTGATTCACTACTATCCAAATTCATGGTAATTTTTGATTTACCTGACCTGTCAGCATTTTTCTTATTTATCTTATTCTTTCCATTTTCCCTCAGTTCATTTACCAGTTTATCAGAACTAGGACTTGATTCTGATGAATTCAGAGTATCATCTACTGATTCTATTGCAGTTATATACAATTGGTTAGTTTCGTTGCAGACTGACTCTTCCAAGTCAAGCATTTCATCTATCTTCTTCATGGATCCTTTTCCAAACTTTTTTGTGCCATTAACATCATTGTTATCCTCAGGGGAGCTTCCCAATTCTTCAATTAAATTCTTATAAGTAATACTGCTTCTTCTATGAATTCTGGTTGATTCAACAAGAGGTTCACCTAGACTGTCGAGATCTAGAGTACATGATGCCAGCGAAACTCTGTTCTTAACAACAGTATCATCATAGTCTAAGCTTGATTCTCTTTTTGGTCCTATATTTAAAATAGGTTCAAACTTCGGTATCTGTATTCCATCTGATAAATTATTACCAACACAAGAATCAACAAAGCTTTCCTTAATACATGCATCAGAGTCCCTCTCTGTATAATCAGTCTTAGCAAAATGATTTTTAGTATTAGAGGTAACAGCAAAATCGTCATCTGAATCACTGCACACTTGAAGAACAGCTTTTGCTTTGACTGGTTTACCCTTTTGTTTAGGTACATCAGTGAAGCTGGAGTCACTGTCAGATGAGGCAAATACTTGAAAGGTCTGGGCCTTAAACTGAGGATTGGTCTGCTTAGGTTTAGTTTCTGTTATGCCTTTCTGTTTTGAGTTTGTTTTGTTTTCTACTGTAGTTTTCTTTTTCTTCAATTTTAGTTTGTCTGCTGTTTTTCCTACATAGGTAAGAAAAAATTCTATATAATAAGTATTATACACTTTCATCTGAAAATAAATATCACATTTATAGGTCATATTGAGCCAGACAGGTGTGACTTTGTACTGTAATTCAAGCATGATGAGGCACTAGCAGCAAACATTGAACCTATGGTAAGCCACATGAATGACTTCTTACATAAAAAAAATGATGTCCTCAAGAAGCTTATTTGAAATTAACTACCTAAACCTCTGCAGATGAAATATAATTATATAATTATAATGACCACTACAGCTGTTTATGATATCTATAGAAACGAAAAGAAATTCAATATACTGAAATGGCTTTAGATGTTTTTACTTTCATAAGCTTATGTTCATTTATGTTTCTTGTTTGGAAATGGTTTTTGGTGCTTTTTCAACCCTGCTTATTTTAAATAATGAAATAGAACAGAACTGGATTGCCTTTCTTCTTACCATTTGGTTTCAAACTACCATCATCTTTATCTGTATTTTCTTTCTTCATTTTAGTTTTCTTCCTTGCACTCAATGATAGCTGTAAAGCAAAGAGTAAAAAATTGCATGTCATCTGATAAAATCAAACTGGTTACATTTATTTATAGTAAGTTTTAAAGCTGGGTGAAATCTGAAAAGATGTTAACACTAGTGATTTTTCACCCTATACTTTACAGCCAAAATAAGGCTGTATCCCCTAATGAAAAATTGGTATTATTTCCCCATAAAAATGCTATATTTCCCCTGAAAAGATGTTAACACTGGTAAATAATATAGTCAATATCCCTGACCTGTATAGTTCTCTTTTTGTTTTAGCAGTGATAATTTTTCTATATTTTACAGTGAAAAAAAGCTGTATTCCCTAGTCCAAAATAGGTATATTTTCCCCTAAAAATGCTACATTTTCCCCTGAAATGGCCTGTGCACATTCTTTACTAGAACCATGACTTAAAAGCTATCCCTATAAATACATGTATTCTCTGCTATGTACCATGGGTGTTAAATTGAATTGAAACTGTTAATTTTACAAAAATGTGTGGATAAATTCCTTCTCAGTTATATGGAATTTTATTTTCCGATTTTCTCATATTGTACTACTAGTATATTTTTCCCTTCAGAACGCCACAGGTTGTTTTGAAAATAGAAAAAAAAACAACAACAACACAAAATTGCAAAAATGATAAACAATGTTACTATATATATTATTATTTTTGTTTCTACAGGGCTATTGGAAATGTTTATTTATAATTCAAACGTAATTTTCAATCTATTTTATCACATCAAAGTTTAAAGATTATTTCCAAGTTATGACACTTATGTACTTCTGTTAACTAAAGATATGATTGTTTATTTTCATAACTTACTCTAAAGTACTGCTGTTATCAATACAAATTTCAAAACTATCACAATTTAATTTTACCCCTTGTTTTGCCTCATTCTTGTCCTTAAACCAGCCCAATCTCTCACCCATTTTCTGAAACATTTCATTCACATCCGTTTGTTCAGCCATCTTCCTCTATGTCTTACCAACACAGCTAAAAATACATGATAAAGATAAAAATCATTGTTCAATTGAAAAATATCTTCGCAAAAAAAATAATAAAAATACAGAGTAGTCACACACAAGCAATTATAACATGTAAAGTCAAAATGACATTATTATTTTATTGATAGACTGCAGGTGCTATATATATGCCAACTTTTAAAACAAGAGCTACCAAAAGGATAGCAAAACTCAGTTCTAAAATAGAACAATGAAGAAATTACAAAGAGGCAAATGAATGCTTATGTTGTTTACTGATCTTGATCAGTTTTTATTTTATTATTATTTCACATTATTTTACCATATATTTCATCAATTTTTATAAAAAAAAAAAAAAAAAAAAAAAAACACACACACACACAAGAGGGTCAAGATGGCCCTAGATCGCTCCCCTGACCCATCGACCTCACCTGAGCAGTGTCTTGGACATGCATCCTGACCAAGTTTCATGACAATTGAGTAAAAAGTCTGACCTCTAGAGTGTAAACAAGGTTTATCTATATTTGGGCAGTGTGACCTAGTTTTTTTACCCCAGTTGACTCACTGACCCATATTCAAACGTGACCTAGAAATCATCAAAACAAACTTGTAGACCAACTTCCAGTCATAGTCATAATCAGAATTGATTGTCAAGCAGTATGATGTGGATGTAGATTTGGATAACAACAGCAGCCACTACAGAGTTCACAATTTTTTTCTATTTTTAGCTCCTGTGACCTAGTTTTACATCAGAGATGACCCATGTTTGAAAGTCCCAAGCAATTGACTAGATAAGCATCCTGACCAAGTTTGATGACAATTGAGTCAAAAATGTTACCATTTAAAATAAAGTATTAACAAGTTTTTTCCGTATTTGGGCAGTATGATTTAGTTTTTGACCCCAGGTGACCCATAATCGAACTTGACCTAGAAATCATCAAAATCAGACCAATTTCCAGGATATTTGGATCAAAAGAGTAGCCACTAGTGTTAAAAAGATTTTTCTATTTTTTAGCTCCTGTGACCTAGTTTTTGACCGAAGTCGACCCATATTAAAACTTGACCTAGAAATAAAACAAGATTGCATTTGAGAAAATGCTATGCCACCGCATTAATATAACACTAAATAGAAGTGTAGGAACAAATACTGTTGAAGAAAGGGTCTTTTATTAACCTCGTATATTACTGTCTGGATGAGCCGGTACCAATGCAAAACCGACGTATTACTATAAACTGCTAGCATTCCCTTGCAGAAAGATAAGCAGACGACAGCCTAAATTTCATGACTACATCAAAGGACAACACAGTAAGACACTTTGTCAAAATCTAGGTCAGCTGATATCAAAGTTCACTTTACATCTTAATCTGTGCACATGGTTCAAATTTCATAGCTGTACATCAAAGGACAAGAAAGAAGGTCACATAATCAAAATCTAGGTCACTTGATATAAAAGTTCAATTTTACAACTAAAACTGTGCACATGGTCAAAATTTCATTGCTGTACATCAAAGGACAAGAAAGTAGGTCACTGTCCCCTTGGGCAAGGCAAAATTTTGACCCAAGGGTTTAATTCAGAACAATCTTGATACAGGTCCACCAAACAACATTTCAAGTCAAATATCTAAGCTGTAGCTTTCTCCCATTCAGAAAACATTTGTTTTATTTTCTGTTTTTATTATGTGTACTTAATGAAAATCACTGCCCCCAGGCAGGGCCGATTTTGACACCAGGGGTAAAATTTGAACAACTTTGATAGAGGACCTACAGATGATATTATAAAGCAAACATCAAAGCTCTATGCCTTGTACCTTCAGACAAAAATAGTTTTTATTATTTTTTTTTACTATATGTACATAATGAAAATCAATGAACCCGGGGCGGACCCAATTTTGACCCCAGGGCTATAATTTGAACAATCTTAGTAGAGGTTCACTTCCCAAAGTCTCATGCCATAAATTTAACCTCTAACCTTTGTCAATTTAGAGAAGAAGATTTTTCAAGTTTTTACTTTATACATATAAGGAAAACTATTGCCTCTAGGGCAGGGCAATTTTTTCACTAGAGGCATAATTAAAATAACTTTAGTAGAGGACCCATAGATGATATTATATACCAAATATCAAAGCTCTAAGCCTTGTACCTTCAGACAAGAAGATTGTTTAATTTTTTACTATATGTACATAGTGAAAATCAATGACCCCTGGGGGTGGGGCCAATTTTGACACCAGGACTATAATTTGTACAATCTTGCTAGAGGTTCACTACACAATGTTTCATGCAAAATATCTTAACTCTAGCCTTTGTAAATTTAGAGAAGATGATTTTTTAAGTTTTTACTATACACATTTAAGGAAAACCAATGGCCCCCAGGGCGGGGCTAATTTTGACACTATAGGCAAAATTTGAACAACTTTGGTAGAGTACCTATAGATGATATTAATTAATAAATATTAAAGCTCTAAGCCTTGTACCTTCAGACAATAAGATTGTTTGATTTTTTACTATATGTATATATTGGAAATCAATGACCCCCGTGGCTGGGGCAATTTTGACCCCAGGGCTATAATTTGAACAATCTTGCTAGAGGTTCACTACACAATGTTTCATGCAAAATATCTAACCTCTACATTTGTCAATTGCTAGAAGAATTTTTTTTAAGTTTTTACTGTAAGTTTTTACAATATACATATAAAGAAAACCAATGACCCCAGGGGCGGGCCGATTTTGACCCCAATGCTATAATTTGAACAATCTTGCTAGAGGTTCACTACACAATGCCTTATGCAAAATATCTAAGCTCTAGGCCTTTTTGGTCTTTACAAGAAGGTATTTTTAAGTTTTTATTATATGTACATATAGTAAAATTCAATGACCACCCCCCCCCCCGGCGGGGCCGATTTTGACCCCAGGGCTATAATTTGAACAATCTTGGTAAGGGTCTACAAGACAATGCCTTATGCAAAATATCTAAGCTCTGGGCCTTTTGGGTCTTTACAAGAAGGTATTTTAAGTTTTTACTATATGTACATATAGTGAAAATCAATGACCCCCGGGGCGGGGCCGATTTTGACCCCAGGGCTATAATTTGAACAATCTTGGTAGAAGTCTACCAGACAATGCCTAATGCAAAATATCTAAGCTCTAGGCCTTCTAGGTCTTTACAAGAAGATTTTTTAAATTTATTCTTATAATTCCTTTTGGTTTCCATGGCAACCAGATTTCTGCATGAAATGAAATTCTTTGAACAACTTTGGAAGCCCTTCACACAAGGATCAATCCTGCCAAGTTTGGTTGAAATTGGACAAGTGGTTTTTCACAAGAAGATTTTTTAAGTTCACTATATAATCTATATAACACACAAACATACAAACACACACACAGGTGAATCGCTATATGCCACCGCATTGCAGATGCTGCGGTGGCATAAAAAAACAACCTTCCTCACAAATTCCCAAAATATCTGAATCAAAACTGCAGCCACTAGAGTGTAAACAAGATTTTTCTATTTTTAGCTCCTGTGACCCAGCTTTTGAACGGAAATGACCCATATTCAAACTTGACCTAGAAAACATCAAAACAACCTTACTGACTAATTTCCAGAATATTTGAATGAAAACTGCAGCCACTAGAGTGTTAACAAGCTTTTTCTATTTTTAGCTCCTGTGACCTACATTTTAACCAGAAATGACACATATTCAAACTTGACCTAGAAATCATCAAAACAACCTTCCTAAACAATTTCTAGGAAATTGGGATCAAAACTGCAGCCACTACAGTGTTAACAAGCTTTTTCTATTTTTACTTCCTGTGACCTAGTTTTGACCCGAGATAAGTGAACCCATATTCGAACTTGGCCTGTATTTCATTGAGACAAACATTCTCACCTATATTATGATCCATTCAAAACTGTGAACTGCTAAAGTGTTAACATCCCAATTGTTGACGCACAACGACGGATGCCAGACACAGGCCCATCACTATACCTTACCTTGACCACTTTGTGGTCAGGTAAGCTTAAAAAACACACAAAATTTCTTTGCAAATTTAAGATGGTGGAACATGGTCTCTGGAAATCTCACAAAAAATGTGAACTTGCAGGTTAATTAATCACTGATACAGATTTTAAGTATATGATACAAGAGCTTCCTCGCCTTTTAAATGTATCAAATGCAAGGCATTTCACTTCCAAGACATTTCACTCCCAAGATGGTTCAAAACCTAGATATTTCACTCTCATTTTGACAATTGTATGGACATATGGCCAAAATTCAAGGTGTGTGTTAATTATCTCAGATTACACTCCAGAAGTGAAAAATACATGTCAGATTTTTTTGGCGATTAGAATTCAGTTTTCCAACCAAATAAGGCAAGGTGAAAATATTTTCAGGGTCTCATGCAGTCCAAAAAAAAGTCTACAAGCACCGTATACTAGGGCTTTTGCGATTGATTTCCGTACACAAAAATCAACATCTTTAAAATTTTATTATATTCTTTTTTTTTAACTTTCAATTGGGAATTTTTGCCCTTGAATTGGGAAAAAAAGATACTATTTTCGATTGGGAATATAATCGAATATTGGCTATAGTATAAAATTGGCCAGAAAAAAAAACCTGCATAATTTCATATTATATTATATAGTATTAGAGTAGTCAAACTAATTGTAATGCGCGACGAGATAGTGTGCTATTTTCGTGTCTGGGCAATATCTCGCCTTTAAAGCGAGATTCCGCCCCAGAACGAAAATATCTCAGAACCAAGCTTTGGCACGTCAATATATTTTGACTAAGTAAAGAGGTGCTGGATAGTAACTAATTTTAATTTTTGATGATCAAGGGGAGATTATTTTTATTATGGTAAGTTGACGATTACTGGCAAGGCAAATGTGCCAAACATCTGTTTGACAAGCTGCATATTCATTATTAGTGTGTAACAACCATTTGGCTGTAAGTGATGTTACTAAAGAGAATTCAAAATAACTGCGATTTTGGGTAAGAAAACTAATTACTAATACTATTGCATACCATTAATTGATCATTTGGTAGCTCGTGATTCTATGATATCACGGTACTTTAGTGTTTTGAAAAATATTCAAATATATATATATATGATATCATACATGAATGTGATTTGTCTTCTATTAATAATTGAACTTTAAAACTGGTCGCGAAAATACGTGATAAATCCGAAAAAGTTGCGAAAAGGAATGTTACTGAAGAGGATCATTGACTTTCAGATGGAAATAAGGCTAAGAAATGCATATGTTATCAAAAAACAAAGTATCTGTCAGAACCATTTGTCAGATCTTATAAAACATGCGTTTGTTTACATTTTCAAGAAGTCAAATATCCCGCTATGTTTATTTCCGAATTTTCATAAATTGACTGCTATTTTCACGGTAGCCGCTATGGGTGAGAGTGGTTTCGTCGCAATCCGGTCAACTCGTCCCCTAGTCAACTCGTCCTCTGGTCAACTCGTCACCTTTTTGGTCAACTCGTCCCCTACTTTTGGTCAACTCGTCCTCAAAGAGTCAACTCGTCCCTAATATGGTCAACTCGTCCCCTACGTTCGATCTATTCGTCACTATTATGTTGTAAATCAATGTCTTTAAATAGTACTTTTAATGTAAAATTAATAATGAATTTGATTGATATCGAAATATTAATAAAATAACGTCTTTTTTACGTTAAATTTTAATGATCTTTATCTAACCCACGTGCATAGCTTTGATGTAAAACTACAAAGACAGGTAAGTTTGCAAACATTCAATTAATGTTTAATCAATCGGAGTTTTAATGATAATTAAAACTAAAATTAGGTCAAACTCTTTGATTTTTACCTCCTCCCTGAATGGATTAAAGACTGACGACAGATTAACAGAAATTGGAAGTGCTAAACACTTTATGTCGGTGCGTATTGATCTCATTATAGAAGGATCGTGTCAATTAAAAACATGATAATTGTTTGTTGTGAAATTGTCAATTGTTTCTGATTTTTTTAAAATTGCATTTCATTGTAATATTATGGTCCATTATCATAGGAGTTGTATAAACATACATGCCTTTTGAAAGAGTTAGTATTTTTTTTTTCATTATTTTTTTTTAAATAAAAAATCCGTACAATGATATTTGCCTTGAAAACATATAAAGTAATTACTAAATATTCAGTTGCCATCTAATAATTAGTAAAGATTAATATTAAATTTCCATAAATAAATCTTTAAACTGATCTCAAAGAGGAGCTGTATAAAACCGAGTTCCAGAATTTCTTGTATAATACAAGTCAACATATTGAATGTATTAATTGTAATGAATTCAACATTTTCATATATTTGACCATACACCATCAAAAACAAAATTCGACATTTGGAAAATAAAATTTTATAACAACCTTTGGCACTATTTTCAAGCGATTTGTATAATTTCAAATTAAAGACACACGTTCTTTAAATATATAAATACGTATCCAACCACAGAGGCAAATGTGTCTTTAATCCTATTTTCAAATTACTATATGTTTACTTTAATAACCAAAGGCACGTGTCATGATATATTTAATTAACAACAAATAAAAACTCCAAATATTCGCATACAAAAAGCGTCAAAATATGTCCAATTTAGTAATTTTATAATGTATTATTTTAACAGTCTATAATAATTTATGAAATATATGAAAAACAAATAATAATAAAATATAGGGGACGAATTGGGGACGAGTTGACCAGGGGACGAGTTGTCCAAGGGACGAGTTGACCAAAAAGGTGACGAGTTGACCAGAGGACGAGTTGACCAGGGGACGAGTTGACTCTGAATCAGTTCGGAACTACCGCTATTAGGCACAGGCTTAAAGGTCAGACACGTACATTGATATTTCCATAGAAATGGTCCCTAATCCTACCTTAAAATTGAGTTTTCGTGCTAAAGAGGTAATTTTTCTAGCAGAATGACATGCCTGACAGACATGCCTGACACATAAAAATGTTCCTGTTATATAGGGGTAGCCAACCAAATGCAAAATGACTTCAAAGAGGATTACACCCATTTCATTGAAATTTTCTGCTGATCACAGGACTGACATACGTACACTTGTTATAAATGCAAATATCCAAGTCAAAATTATCACAGAGACTCGTGAAATATTTCATTTTCTTCAGAAATGTAGTGTGACTTTTTAATAAATTAGTTTTTATACTTAAAAATTCCCTACTTTCATCCAACCAACTCCTGTATAAATAGAATCATACACTTTTTATGCCCCACAATGTGGGAGCATATAGCGTTGCACTTGTCCGTCCGTCCGCCTGTCCGTCCGTCCGCCTGTCCGTCCGTCGGTACTTACGTCCCGAAATCTTGTGAACGCAACTCCTCTTAAACCGGATGGCAGATTTTGCTTAAACTTACGGGGATGAACAACCTAGCTTAATGTGTAGATGGTAGTAAAGGGAGGAATTTTCGCTGCGACCAAAGTTAACAGAATTGTGGCCCTTTGTTGATTTTTTCACTATGTAGAAATTTTGTGAATGCAACTCCTCTTAAACCGGATGGCAGATTTTGCTTAAACTTCCAGGGATGAACAACATTAATGTGTAGATGCAGTAAAGGAAGGAATTTTCGCTGCGATAAAAATTTAACAGAAATATGGCCCTTTGTTGATTTTTTCACTATAATTATACCATGTAGAAATTTTAGCTTAATGTGTAGATGGTAGTAAAGGAAGGAATTTTCGCTGCGACCAAATTTAACAGAATTATGGCCCTTTGTTGATTTTTTCACTATATACTATGTAGAAATTTTGTGAACGCAACTCCTCTTAAACCGGATAGCAGACTTTGCTTAAACTTCCAGTGATGAACAACCTTAATGTGTAGATGGTAGTAAAGGAATGAATTTTTGCTGCGACCAAATTTAACAGAATTATGGCCCATAGTTGATTTTTAGTTTCAAACTTGTGGCACATGTAGTCCAAAAAATATTTGACCTAGAGTCATAAGATTGACATGACAGTGGCGTGTGGGGGCACCCGTGTCCTATGGACACATTTCTAGTTTTCAGCCAATCGCTGGCCATGTTACAATTTGTAGTTTTAAGATCAAAATTTTCAGATATTAGAGATTTATAGGTATTGATATTAAAATAATGAATTAGCATTTTAAAGAACAGAAATATATTTTATGATAATTTAGTAAGAAATAATAATTAAATAGTGATATAAAAAGTTGTTTGTTTTTTTGTTTTTTTTTTTTTTGACAATCTATGCTTGATTTGAATAAACTTTTATTATTTTAGGATAAATATGTAATATAAGTTTTGTTAACTTAAAAAATGGGGAGAATTTTAATGGGTACAATAAAGTAAATTTCAAAATAAATTTAAAGAACAGAACATATTTTATTTGATTTTTATATTTAGTACATCTATAAAGTAATCATCAAATAGTTAAAAATAACAATGTTATAAAGCATTAATATTACACAAAACCCCAAAATAGGGGGAGAACCGTCAAGGAGGAAACGTCAGGGAAGGAACTGGTAAGGGAGAGAACAGTCTGACTACCTCACTATAAATATATATATAGTCGCTGTTGATGCCGTTGTGGTGGTTTCGGTACGAATCGATTATGTATGAATCATATTTAGTTAGACATGATTCACTCCCTTTGAAAATTTTGCACCATTTGTAACGATTTGGGAGAAGAAGAGTTTTTAGTCTTAAATATTGGCAAAGAGGTTTGTTATACAGAATTGTTGCCTTTGTCTTTTGATAACATTTGTCTGTGAAGTATTGTATTGCTGCTTTTTAAAAATAAAATTTTGTTCTCAGAATTCGATTGTATTGAACTTTACGGAAACCTAGCTAAACACCCTTTTCTGGTACGTTACGGATTTAGGTCTAGTGAATTATATCACCCTACAGTAAGGCCCCCACGATTACTGGTATCGAAGCAGTTTCCGATAAAAATATGAGGTTATTTAATATTTTCCCAAATACCACGTCTCTCTCAGTACACGTTTAAACGGATTCGTTTCGATTTTCATTCATAAACGTTTACGATATTGTTTACCGTTTAATCGAAATGACCATATTGTCTTACAAAATTTCTTAATCATTGCCTGTAATCATGTATTTTATCAATTCTAGTGGTTTATTCCAAAGTAAACAAACGGAAAATGGGTGTTTACAACCCTCAACACAGCATTACCGTGCTAAATTGCTCGTGACATAATACATTTTTGGTAAAAAGTGGGGTTACAATGCAAAAAATATGTGCTGACTCAATCGTGATGAGCCTTGCACATTCTTTATTTGTACATGTATTAAAAATAGAAAGAAACTTAGAAAGACATCATTTGGCGACTCAAATACATGGTGTGTATAGTACATAGAGGTACCACCGTTTAAACGGTATCGTTTCGGTTCTTAGCAGTCGTGTAAACGTTTACAAAAAATTGTAAACGTGGGAGCCTTACCCTACAGGGAGGGGTCCTCAGCCTTTATCTTGGGGAAAAAAACCCGGAAAATATGCGTGATTTACTGATTTTGACATACTTTGGGAAAGGGATCTTAAATTTAACACAAACTTTGAGCAAGTTCTTCAAAATAGAAACTCTAAAAGCACTGGGAAGTACTAATAGGGCAGTAAAAGACCTTAATTCAACACCATCATTTAATTTTGTTCTAAATTCTATGGGAAATTTCAAGATTGGGGAATTTTGAGGACCAAACTGGGGAAAAAAGAGGCTTTTTTGGTTGGGGAAGCAACCTATATTCGGCCTCAACTAAGGAGTGTTTTTTGGCCCTGCGGCCTATTATGTATCATTATTTTACCGTTTATGGTGATAAAACTTGATGTGTTTGAAAACTATTAATGTTCCTGTACTATCTATCGCATATTTTTCCAAAAAAAATAAAAATATATAATAAAAACTGTAGAAATAAAACAGTCGTTGTTGCATCTGCCATAATAGATAGAGATATTTTCTGCAGAAAAAACTTTTGTATTTACTTTATTTTTTTGTATTGAATTATTCATACAGTGATAATTGTTTTATTACACTTTAGTTTTATACAAATAAATACCAAAAACATTCAGATCGTTACTACATGCTCTCTAGGTGGATTCTCCAGAGTTGTATGTGTACAGAAAGTACCGGAAAACGGTGTTTAGCTTTAATTTTATGGATGCAGTAGAAAAAAAGATATCTTCAAATAATTACCAGAAATTGGGTCCGTGTTTGCTGAAATGTTAAATTGGCGTTTGCATTTGTGGTCACGTGACAAAACTTGTTCATCCAGGGTGTTATATGTCTCTGCTTTAAACAAGCTTATGCAAATGCCCGATCAGGCTTATGACATAAAAATCACATTTCTAGAAAAATAATAGAGATATTTCTTGTAAAGTTAGTTTGTTTATTGGGCATAATATATGACATAAACAGAAAGAAAAAAAGATAAAACTAAGAGTTTGCTCTTTGTCTTGTTGTTGACATTTTGACAATTGATGGTGGTCAGTTGTTAAAATTTGTGATTTTTATGATCGGAGATGTATAAAGAGCTTTAGATGTATTTGAATCATGATGAGTTTATTTGGAACAGGGTATTATCTGTCAAATAAACTCATACATGTATATTTATTATGAATGATATAAAAGAGAGATAACTCTTTATTTGACTTACCAACATTATTTGGTCAGGATTGTTACTATTAATTATTACACAGCAATTACAAATGTATGAGATTTTTTGTGCAAACACTAACTGTTTAAGCTTCACGGTGCATTAGTAAATATCTCCCAAGAAAAGATTAAATTTGTATGAAAACATCCGTTACAATGTTTAAATATACCATTTAATTATAAATGCTTCTTATAGCAATGTTTGTTGTTTTGATATTGACGAATAGATGATCAGAAGTCAGAGTTTACTAGCAAACAGAAATTGTACTTCCGATTTAGCCACAATGAGGTTTCAGATTTTTATGCTTGGTTTTCTTGGCACCAAAATAAGATATAGAGTTGATATGAAAACCAATTTATTAATAAATTGTCGCTATTTCTGTTTTTATGAAATTTATTAAATGCAGCTTTAATGTATTGAAAGGATTAACAGAATTTTTCACTAAGTAAATATATTTTAACAAATGTTTACTAACAGTTGCTTCTTCCTTTCGTTATTTTTAAACAGTGACAACCATGTGGCACTAGTAGAAAAGCAACAACAAGAACACTGTTGAGCAGAGGTTCAGATACAAATATGTGTGTGTGAAGAAATCTGATGTGATTTGCAGAAGCATGTGCGAAACCACTCTTGATAGAAAACTATTGCTTTGGAACATGTGATCATTTATTTTCCTTATTTGAATTTTCTTAGTGAGCTGAAACATCATTTTTACAAACCAGTGAGTTACAGTTTTATTAGTGAATATTCCTGTATTGGAAAATGGGAACTCACAGTTAAGAGGAAATTATTTATCAATCATTGTAGAAAATTAGTAACCTCAAAATACACTTGTCAATACAGTGTGTCAGTGTGTTCTAAATCATTCCCTTGTAGATTCAATCTTCAAGTATATATAACAATGTTGACTACTGAGGAAAATTTCAGATGCTTACTTGCGGATAACAGTAGTCTGAAAATACATATGACAATCGCAAACTAGTTGTCTTAAAACACATAGAACAATGCACACTGATGATAAGAATCATGAATGTGAATATTCAACTTGGCACAAAGGTAGTCTTGAAACGCACATGCAAATACATACTGGTGAGAAGAATTATAAATGTGAACTTTGTCACAGTTCATTTTCTCAAAGTGGGGATCTTAAAAGACATATGACAATACACACTGGTGAGAAGAATCATAAATGTGAAATATGTCATCGTTCATTTTCTCGCAGTAGTAATCTTAAAAGACATATGAAAATACACACTGGTGAGAGAAATTATCAATGTGCAATATGCCACCGTTCATTTATTGAAAATAGTGATCTTAAAATACATATGCCAATTCACACCGGTGAGAAGAATAATAAATGTGCAATATGCCACCGTTCATTTTCTCACAGTGGTAGTCTTAAAAGACACATGGCAATACACACTGGTGAGAAGAATCATGGATGTGAAATATGTCATCGTTTATTTTCTGAATTTAGTAATCTTAAAAGACATATGAAAATACACACTGGTGAGAAGAATCATAAATGTCAAGAATGTCATAGTTCATTTTCTCAAAGTGGGGATCTTAAAAGACATATGGCAATACACACTGGCGAGAAGAATCATAAATGTGAAATATGCCAGCGTTCATTTAATCATAGCAGTAATCTTAAGCAACATATGACAATACACACTGGCGAGAAAAATCATAAATGTGAAATATGCCAGCGTTCATTTAATCATAGCGGTAATCTTAAACAACATATAACAATACACACTGGTGAGAAGAATCATATATGTGAAATATGTCATCATTCATTTTATCAGAGGAGTGCTCTTATCAGACATATGACAAAACACACTGGCGAGAAGAATCATAAATGTGAAATATGCCAGCGTTCATTTAATCATAGCGGTAATCTTAAACAACATATAACAATACACACTGGTGAGAAGAATCATATATGTGAAATATGTCATCGTTCATTTTATCAGAGGAGTGCTCTTATCAGACACATGACAAAACACACCTGCAAGGAGAGTAATGAATTTGTCCTTTAGAGATCGTTGCAGCCAAAATAGGCATATGAATATCCATACTAACAAAATTACATACAAATGCAAATATTGCAATTATGAGTTCTGTAACTGGTGTGATAAGCAAAAACATACGAGAACATAGTGAGAAATTTTATAAATGTGATAAATCATTTTTAATGGAAAAAGGTCTTAAATCACATGTTGACATCATGCACACTTGATTGAATAAAAGTGCATGCGAACTGTTCAATCATACATATCGTCTATTAATTTTGGTACACTGCTGAGACCGGAAGACATACATGTAATGACACAGCAAAAAAATATCTTTTTAAAATAAACTTATTCAAAGTTTGTCATTTATTATCTTAAGCTGTCTCCAGAACTTTGGAGGAATTGCATTTATGTTCATTATAATTAGATGTGTTTATAAAAAAAAAATATATTGTTTTGTTTAACCTTTTTGCTTATTTCACTATATATCTATATTGTCTGCTTTATTTTTTTAAACTATTTGATGATTACTTTGTAGATGGACTATGTATTAAAATCAAATAAAATACGTTCTGTTCTTTAAATTTATTTTGAAATTTACTTTATTGTCCCCATTAAAATTCTCCCCATTAAAGTTAACAAAACTTATATTAGACATTTATCTTAAAATAATAAAAGTTTATTCAAATAAAGCATAGAATGTCAAAAAAGAAGAAAAAAAAACTCATTTTTATATCACTATTAATTATTTCTTACTGAATTATCATAAAATATATATTTATTCTTTAAAATGCTAATTCATTATTTTAATATCAATACCTATAAATTTCTAATATTTGAAAATTTTGATCTTAAAACTACAAATTTAAACAAATTTACACCTTCTTGTTCTATATATTGTCTGCGTTTTGTGAAAACACTCTATATCTATATTGTCTGCGTTTTACTATATATCCTATATTGTCTACATACGCGTCTGCGTTTTAGACCGACCCCGCTATTAATGGATGGGGAGATACAATTTGAATAACTATAGTGTCTTTTAAAAACGAACAAAATATATTTTATTTCTCAGAATGAATATAATAGATGTTACTGTTTGTAAACCATTTCAAATATCCGTATAGAGAAGGACTGAAATGGAGGGCAAAGTATGATAAAATCCTTCTCCTAAATTACTCAATTAAGTAGCTCAAAATTAGGTTATATATTTTAAAAAATATACCTTGAATACTTCTTTGACATAATGTTCTGTCTGATCAGGTACGTATATTAACTATATACCTGGTCTGATATTAAAATTAAATAACTATCAGCGATAGAGTTAGGCATTTAAGAGATAAGCTCATCAGGGTCTTTCAAATATTTGAAAGACCCTGAGCTCATTCATAAAGAGTTAAAGGCCTTATTTTTGGTGTACATTAGAACCTAGAGAAATTAATATGAACTTTTGCTTTTCCACACAGTGATTCTTGTGTTGCGCTTCACTGGCATGCATTGTACTTTACCAGACAGCATAAGGTCAATTGAAAATATCTTAACATTTAAAACGAAAGTTTAACACTTCTTTATTGAAAAATGAAAATAACAAAAAGTGTATTCATATGTTTATATAGTACTAAATTGATTTGTAACTTATGCATGGTGTCACCCCGTTACGGAATAAGTAATTCTTTTACATTTTGAAGTGGCCCATTTCAAGTCATCCGTGGTAAGACTGATTACATTTTAAGTCTATTTTTTGTAAATGTGAACATGAAGTTTCATTTCAAAGTACTTTAAATGTTGTTTTTTTTTTGTGTATCTTTGCAGGATTTCATTCTTGGTGGAAGGTTTCAGGAAGTACTATGCGCCAGAATACACCCAGTTTATTTGGTGTATCTTACAGCAGTGCTTAAACAAATTAAAAGCTGCAGAAAAATGTCCTAGGGCCAATGTGTTATTTTTGTGCTAAATTTAGTTGGATAGCACTGTTGTTGAAAGTTATAGCCACCAAAATGCCTGTACGGGATATGCAGTGACCAGAATTTATAGTCTTAGATGTGGTGGGTTTTCTATAGGATATATATAGAGTACGAAAATTCAGTGTGCTTCTTATGTGTTTTACATATTGAAGTTGCACTTGACAATTTATTAGTTTATACAGAATTTATTTCATTTTAATGTGCACAATGTATTTGTCTCATTAATTATGTCTCATTATATTTAGACAAGCTAATTGGCCATTAAAACAAATAAATACAGTCTTTCTTCTTTGCAACCAAATGTAATTAAGACATGCTCTTTTGAATATGGATGATACTTGGTCACAAACTTAATAAATACAGTCATGTGAACTAAATGAATTTATCTGTGAAAGATGATAATTATAGAATGAAGTCAAGTCCCCCTTTCACTGAAAAGGCAAAACAAAAAATAAAACGTTCAGTTTTATATCATTTGCTGAATCTTACTATGTACTGTAATGAAATTTATGTTTCAATTTGGGGTATACAAATACACAAATATACAAACTTAATGAAGGCACCGCATCTTTTTTGTGGGTTAATTTTCATGCAAAATTCGTCTGTCGCAAACTGGGCATGTTTGCTATGCATACGGGAATACATGTGTCTGATACCAATCCGAATTGCATAATTAACCTTATCAGTTAGTCAAGCTGGTCCGAAAGATATGATATAATTTTGGCAGCAACAGCTTATTTTTATCCATGATGCTTGAGAATGCTCTCACTGGCCTTCCATGTATCAAAATAGTAAACACCATAAAAAAATCGACTTGCATACATATTTAATATCATTCAGAGAATTACTGAAAAAAAAGTCTACGGTCACCTTTTGGCATGCAGATGATAATATTTAAGGACATGTCTGGTAAAATGTCTAAGGTCCTTAATTACTCTCAAAGCATGAAAGGGTGGATGGGGAATTTAGAATAAACGAACCGAGGGATAAAGTGTCCTAGAATAAATACAGTCAAAACTGTCTTAAGCAGCCAGCCAAGGGATGCAGTCATTTTGGCTGCTTAAGACAGGTGGCTGCTGAATGGAGGATCCAGTTTTTATCGAAATAAATTATTCCTTTCTTTGTAAAATAAATCTGATTTAAATATAAATAAACCAGTCTGATTCGTAATCATCATCCTCATCATCATCAGTTTTTAACAATTTACAAACGTATGCCATTAATGGTTTCAACATGTACACTCCTTCCAACATAAAGCTTTACATTAATCAAATGCACTCAGGATTTATTATGTCAATAATTGAAACTAATTATCCCATAAAAATATCTTCTTGCACAATAATTTAAAATGCGTAATATTATCTTCACAAAAAAAGTGTGACAGTTTCCTTTTCTAACTTTTGATCAATAGAATATTGTGTACACGTCATCTAAGTGTCAGCAATTCCTTTGATGTTTTGGATTTTGTAAACATCAAGGATTCTTTCGAAGACCCCGCTAGTTACCTCTAAGAGGTCATCTAGTGTGTAAACTTCATGGGTATGTTTTAACAATGACCTCATTATATTTATGGAGCGAGTGTTTTTATGAATTTATTACTGAGGAATTTAGATAATCGGCGATGTAATTAATTTTCATTTCTTTGTTAAGTACCATGTACGCACAAAATTTATCTGAATCGGGATAAACTGATAAAAAGGAAACAAATCAAAATTTTCTTTCTGCAATCAACAATGCATTTTTTCTTCTTTCTTTTTTATCTTAAATTGGTAAATTGAAAAATAAAAAACTAGCGTACAGTAACTCAAAAGAACGGATTGCAAGTACGTGGAGACGTTCCAAACGCTTGTAATTACGACACGGATGAGCAATTATGCAAATTTCTTGAAATAATGTGGTTTGTGTTAATATCTAGCGCCTGACAAATAGCTTTTGTTAATCCGTGACACGTGTCATCTTTAAAAATAAATGACAGAAGATTGTCTGGCCGTTTCACCTGGCTGACCGCTTAAGATGACCGAGTTTAAGATTCGGGAATCATTTAATTTAGGTGACCGTTGACTGCGGACAGCAGGTGACCGTTAAACAGATGTATAAAATAGAGTGGTTTTAAATGGCCGTTAATAAGGTCAGGTGACCGCCGATAAGAGGTGACCGTTTGTACAGTTTCGACTGTACTTTATACCGGTACGGAACATGTCATTTATTCCTAAAATATTCATGACAGATATTATATGCGACGACTTTTTGTAAATCGACCATAATATTACGAAAACAAAATAATATTATTTTTTATAAATTTTACATATACACATATTACATTAGATATAGCTGTAAGTGGCAGGACGATTTTTGACATCATTTTCCAATGTCTTTTTTGTCACAATCCGACCATTTATAGATCATTTTCTTACCACAGTCTAACCAATTTCTGACCATAATCTAACCAGTTTCAGACCGCAATATAACCATTAAGCTGAAACTCTTGAACATAAACCAACCATAGATTCTAACAAAAATTGGATTATTTCTGCCCTTATCTCATTATTGTTTCAGATTTGGCGTTGTTTTCGTGTTTACCTGTCTACTACACAATATCAATTTACTTTACATGTACACGTAAAAGTAAATTTCAGTAATCAAATTTCAACAGTTTATCCTAGCTTCCAACTAAAATTCACTTTTTTCTGTCCATCATTTCCCGATGACATATTGTGTGCAGAGTGCAAAATTATATTTTCTATTCTTTATCTTAAGTCTAAACTTAATATGAATATTTTGTCTTCTTTTTCTTCGAAACATTCTATATAAAACTATCTGAATAATTAAATTAAGTACTAGTTAAAAATATATTATTTTGCAATAATAACTGTTTGAAGTAATCTCTTCACATTATAAAATAATAGTTAAACAGAATTGTTATTATTTTTCTCCTCTAGGCAAAAATGTTCTAACAAATTTGTTCATTTTAATCATTAATCTGATTTTCTCTTTTCTGTATTATTCTAACCAAATATATTGCACGTACCTTATTCGTGGAAAGGAATTTACATAAGTCACGTTTGACTTGTTTTCCTACGAAATTTATCAGTGTGTTTTGTATATGCTTACTGTATATATATTTATGTTGTACAAATTAAAATAAATTTTGGCAACCTACATTCTCAAGTTTACACGTGTAATCTCATTATATAAAAACTTTAATCACAAAAGGCTATGAGCGTTCTAAAACTTGATTAGCAACAACAGAAACTTTATAACGATTCATAATATTTTGTTTTCAATAATTGCTGTCTTTATATGTAATTATATCACACACGTATGATTTTATATATGTCTTGATGTTTCAAGGTATAAGTACATGTAATCTACCCTAAAACCACAGATTTAATTTACAAAATTTCGTTGAAAAATCATGCATTTAGTATGTCACACTAATATCCTTTGTAAGCAAAGAACAATAACAAGAACAAATGTATATGCATTTGCAATGAAAAATGGACATAAAATTACAAAATGCAAACATAATGCATCTGGACAGTCCTATCAACATAAATTGAAATATTCTATGAAAAAGTAAAACTTCAAAGTTTAAGAACTTATTTTTTAATCCAGTAATTAA